TGTTTTATGTCTCTCTGTGGTTGTTTTATGTCTCTTTGTGGTTGTTTAAGGTCTCTCTGTGGTTGTTTTGAGTCTGTTTTGTGATTGTTTTGCATCTCTGTGTGGTCGTTTTGAGTCTCGTATGCATTTTGTGTCTCTGTAGTCATTTTGAGTCTCTTCGTCGTTGTTTAGCGTCTCTTTTTGGTCGTTTTGTGTCTCTTTGTACTCGCTTGCTTCCCAATAAGAACTGTCAACAGTCACCAGCCACTAGTACCCTAGAGGCCTGTTCAGTAATCCGCCTACGGTCCAATCACAGCTTTGATCCACAGCAGACCCCGCCCCCCTAGGGAAACATGCTTGGCTTCCTTTTCTGGCCTGCTGCTGTTTGACCTCCATCACGAAAGTCATACACGTTATTATTCAAAAATGCAATTACCTAATTATACGTTATGCATAATGAGAGAGGATGAAAAGGGATGTAATGGAGGACCAGGGAAAACAAATTCACGCTTTCTGCTTGTTGACCCCTCCTCTCCATTTAACCACGACCCCCACCCGAGTGATGGGTAATTGTTGAAAACGTGCTATCAAAGGGGGCGCGGAGAGGTCCGGGTGTTAAGAGGCAGCGCTCTCTCCTCCGCTCGTCTCCTGTGAAGGGTTCTCCTGCTGTAATGTAATTCCTCCGTCCTCCTGGATGTTTCCATTGTGTTCGAGAGCCTCCCCCTAACGACGCCCAGCGCTGCAGCTCAGCAACCTCTTCCACTATGTTCCTATGGTAACAACCCAGAGAGTGTGTGTGTCAGGGAGATGAGTGATTGTCTGTTTGTGTGCGTTCATTACGGCTGTGTGGCTCATTTCCACATAATGAATCAATTATCGAGGCTGTGGAGCGAGCTCATTTGAATAATCTCAGAGAGAGACGATTTCACTGAGGATCTTCACACATCACATGTACGGATCAGTATTTCCCTTGGAGAAGGTGTGTGTGTGTGTGTGTGGGGAGGGGATAGGGTGTATAATGGGACGTCCAGCTGACATCATTCGCCTGCCAATCTGCGCCCTGCTTGCCAAACCCCGGCCTCCATAATAGCTTCACTGAGCAGGACTGTGGCAGCTACAGCGTCTCTATTTTTAACCGGTTCAGCATGCGGGAGAAAGTGTCACACCGCCCCCTACTGTCCAACGCTGGTACATGATACTGATCACAGCAGAACTACGGTGGGATTACTCAAAACATACTAAACCATGAAGCCTCAAAAGGGGGATTTTCCTTTTCAGATTAAAAACACTTCAAATAAAATGATTTATTGCCAATAAATGATTAAATAACCTGTAGACAAGAAAGTAGGAAGATGTGATTATGTGAGACAGGTTGTCGTCCGTCAATTTTTGCTTTTAATTATCTTTTGTGATTAAGGTGTGAGGAGGTTAATTAAGACTTAAGACCGTGTGGATTAACACCGGTTGTTTAAAGACCTGATTACTAAACCAGCAACAAACAGAAGGGAAGCTTCACCATAGAGACAAAGGGAAAAGGAAAATCATTCGATTTTATTTAATAAGAGAACTGAACTGAGTTGTCCGAGTAATTGACGCACATGTAATTAATGTTATTATATTCTACAGTTGTAATTATCACTACAAAAATTAAAAAATAACCGTGAGTTTAACAGGAATGTAAATTTCAGACACAAACTGCAGGAGCCGGTTTTTGTGACACGCAGCGCAACTGCACCACCCTGTGGTCGTTGATAATACTACATTTATTCATGCCCCATTCTTTCCATCCTGAGAGGGTCTTTGAGTAGAGCGACTCTATCCTCCACCCACCTGCAGAACCGGGGACCTGACACCGAGGTGCCGATGACTTTGACGCAAGCGTCCTCCAGCAAGTAAAGAACGTTATGGCACAGCGCATTCACATCATCGCAGATTTGAATGAGTTTGTGTCTCTCGAGCTGCCCGTCCAAGTCGATCCGATGAACTCTTAACATCAGCAGCCAATACTCCACCAAACTATTGAGGTCCTCCGATGCCTGCCAGGTCCTTGAGCCCGTCTCAGTCCACGATATCCGCGTGAGGTCGGCGCTTTCGTGGACGACGCGCACGTCGAGGCCCCTCAAGCATCTGTCAAACTCCCACTTGTCAAACTTTTCGATGTACCTGCAAATGTACGAGTCGACCCAGACGCACGCGTCCCCCTCAGCAGACGGCTCTTCCGCATCCTCCGCATGGCTCTTGGAGGACATCGAGGCATCTTTGGTTCGGAGGATCTTAGCGGTCAAGGCTGAGCTGCTCTGATCCGGATCCTTCAGATAGTCGGTTCTGCTGTAGAAGGAGCTCGTCGTATTCTCTCCCCTGATCTCGGGTGCTGAAATCCTGTCTGGTCCGGTGCGTTTTTCTGAAGTGCCGTCTACTGCTGGCTGTGTTGCTGATATTTCCTCTGCTCTGTGCAGGTCCAGGCCTGATAAGGAAGATGTAAGCCCTGCATTCAGCAGCTCTGTCCTATATTCTGCGGGCATTTCCCTCCTGGACCGATCCCTCGGCTCTTCTTCCCCGTTGCCGTGTGTGTCGCAAAAGCTCCCGGCGGCGGCCAAACTCTCATGAGAAACTTTTCGCCTCCGGGAGACGGTTCGAGTTTTCCCATTCAAGAGCGGGCTTTGGACTTCGGCTGCCTCACCTGTGGCCTGCGTCGATAAGCCGTGTGAGCTCCCCCCGAGTCCCGGCTTAGCTTCAGAACCGCCGCTTTTTACGGAGCCCACAACCTCGCGGTGAGCCATTACCCTCGGATTAAGAGGGGATTCTCTCGGTTTGACGGCGGCAGCTCGAGCCGAGACCTTGACGGATTTATGCTGGCCGGCCCTGAGGATGAGGTCCTGCCTCAGGGCCTGGATGGCGGAGAAGGGCCCCTCCACGGTGGCTTTCGTCTGCTGCGGGGAAGGCCGGAAATGCAGCGACCTGTGAGCCGAGCGCAGACTCTGGATCAGCGTCGACGGATCTCTGCCGAACACGGAGAGGTCGACCGTAGCGCTGTGGACGTACAAAAACATCTGCAGCACAAGAGCACATTCAAATAAACATGGTACATCTGAGAAACATGTAATTGTCAGTCTCGTATAAATTACAGATGAGCAAAACTCCGCTGACACTCACATCTCTGGTGAAGGGGAACACAGTGAGGAGGTAGTCGTCTGGAAACTCGTTGTCCTTCATGAGCTGCTGCTTCTTCCGCACCACCCTCTCTGCATCTGCCAAGAGTACTGTACTGTTCCATCAACATTACAGTGATCGCTTCATGAAGCCTCTCTGTTGTCCTATAGACTACAATGTGGCGAGTTAAACCACTCATACCATCCTGGCAGCACTTCATGCAAACATGTTTGATCTACGTTCAGCTCGCTGCACGCTGTGTACGTAGTTCCCATGGGAGCCAATTAGAGCGTAAAAGGAGACACATTTGACAATGACTTTAAGGCATTTACGCATTTGAACGTCCATTCACTGAGCCTCTTGTCGTCCTGCCGCCACATTCCAGTCGCAGCTAATAAGCGTCAATAAATAAATAGACGTGTAAAAGATGGCCGGGTGTTGGGTTTATGCTTAGTGACTTAATGTAATGATAAACCTGAGAGGCACAAACTGGGCCTTCTGGATAAGGAAGTCAACTTAAAAAGTGTCATTTTTTAAATGGAGTTTGGCGCGTAAACAAACAGTTATTAACCTGTTTATTGTTAACTTATGCTCCTCAGAGTGGACACAGATAACAGACACACACGCGCTGTAGTGTGATTAGCTTGTAGCCTGTGTTTAGCTACAACCAGTTTTATTTACCTTCCGCTTTGTCAAAAGTGACAAAAGCGACTCCGTCCATGTTGGTGGGGTACGTGACCACCTCGACGTCTCCTCCTCGACTCCTCCTGCGGCTTAGGAAGTGAATAGTTAGCTTGTCGACCATCCTGCTGACGGGTAACGGGTCGGGCACCCCGGACACGACCACGATCCTGGAGCTTTCCTCCCGGCGGTCGGTCTCCATTACAGGACGCAGACCATGAGGCCAAGCAAACACAAGCTAACTGCAAACTCCGCACCGTTGCTATAAACAGTTACTTGAACAGTATTCAGTTTCACTTTCGCGCTGCCATGTGTGTTGGTCACATGCTGTAACAGCGTTTGGCCACTAGGGGTCTCTGTTTCTCCACATTTCACCCACCGAGAAGACGGTTTATTCAAAAGGTCTAATTTCGTGCAGACGGAAATTAGGCTACTAAGCAGAGCAAATATCTCTGTATTGCCCTAAAGGCAGAGATACAAACCTAGAGCAACATTTTCCAAGATGTTGCCTCATAATGATGTTGCCGCACGCACGCACGCACACACACACCCCCTCAGCTTCACATCATTGCTCGACCTTTCAACATTGGAAAAAGTTTTCTCAACACGTGTGGTGCAAACATTTATTAGAGTCCAAAAAAACAAGAAAAGGAAAAGAAAGAAAAGCCACACCACACACGGAACACCTCATGATTCACACAAACAAAATCCCCCCCCCCCCCCTTTCCAAAGAAAAAGAAGCCAAGTAGTGACAAAGTCGATTGCATTTTTGTTGTGCATATAAACATTTTAATTAAATATAAAAGAAAGTGGCCTGGCCGAGTGCAACAAACGGGTACGAGAGAGGGGGGGGGGGGGGGATAAAAGAAAATCCAGGCCCTGTCTGATACCGATCAAATCTCCGTTCATCACTTCAGTGCAAATCCAACATTCACTGTGTGTAAAAGTGACTTTAAATAATTCAGGTAGTACATCTATTATTCAGTGTTTATTATTGTATGGGCTCAACATTGTACAAGTGTCGCTGCGCGTTATTGTCGGGAGATAAATGCCGCTCAGTGTCACGACTCAGGGGGTTTGGACACGGATGATGGAATTATTGATGAATGCTAAATAAAAATAAAACACTTTGATGCGAATGCTCAGTTCGATATGGTACGGAGGCCCCAATTTCACGTTGTCTTAAGCGGGAAAAGAAACATTCTCGAACTGGATTATGTGTACGTTTAGCTCGAGATGGTGCAGTTATGCTCACAGACCTGCTATCGAAAGAGCCACAGTGGAATCTCGCTCTCCAAACACTTTCATTTCTAAACAGCACTAGATTTTTTTTTTTTTTAAGGATAGAGAAGGGGCCAGCTCAGCGGCCGCTTTTCACAAATAAAACCAAACTCGGGGCCCCGTTGGCCAGAAAAATGATAAAATTAACTAAAATAAAATAAAATAAAAGTGAACGTTCATTCTTCAAACATTTGATTTTTTTTTTTATTTGGACAGAGTCTGGGACTTGAACCGAGGTGGTCCAGACCGAGGCAGCAGAGGCAGGTGGTTGGATGTGCGTTTGCGTGGTGCTCCTTTAAGACGCCCCGAGATGTTTTAGCAGCTATGAGCCAGACCTTGTCCGAGGCCACACGGCTCCCCGTTGTGTCCGGCGCTAGTTCGGAGTTCGAAGGCGGGCCTGGGGTCCGCCGTGGTGGAGCGTGGCGCTCGGGGCAGCGTGTCTGGGGGGTAGCATGGCGAAGATGGAGTATGACGAGGCCAGGCGTCCGCCGGGAGCGTCTCTGGCCGCCACGCCGTGCAGCCGGGGCTGATGGTCCGACAACCGCTGGATCAATTGGCCCCCTCTGCAGAGCTCTGCCAGGAGGTGGTGGGAGTCTGTGCAGCCGATCCCCTCCGGAGGACCCGTTACTTCCAGGATCTGACTGCTCACTGCGGACACACACACACACGGACACACACACACACACACACACGGACACACACACGGCACTGTGAGCAGCAGAGCCAGTAAATAAAACAACTGTCACGGGTGAAGCGAGAAGTCAGACCTGCACCATCGGGAGGCTTCAATAAACTGCTGCTGCCAGCTTTAAAGCTTTAGGTGGAAAATCGGTACAAATACCCTGCAAATTTGGTGTTTTTCTTTTACCAATTTCCTGATGGGTTACATTTTCAAAAATGCACGATTGTCAGTTTAAAGGCAACGCTGCTTTTCTTACTCCCAGACAGCGTTGACATTTTACAGCACCGACCCCCCCCCTTTGATGATTGTACAAGCACCTGAATAATCACCAAAATAAATAAATAAAAAATACACGCCATATTCTAAATAATCAGCACATTTGTACTCTCGGCACAAATACCGCCGGGGCTGCAGGTTCCACAGCCAGGTGTGATTTCTGCCCCGTCTGTGAATTTATTCTGCTTACATTCACAAACAAGACGCTTTCCTCCGCAGCTGTGGGGAGCACAGCAAGCACATTTTGACACACAGCAAAAAAACTGACATTATTTCAATCTGCTAAACAGACCACACAGCAGCTGAGTTTATCACGTTTTCTGATTGACAGCCAAAACCTGATGCTTCACTCCTGGACTTTTTTTTAATGAAACCAGATTTTTCTAGCAATATAGAAATCACTTTCATGCTTCTTTCTGTACAGGGAAGGTCAAATTTCGGTTGTGACCTCTAATTAAATAGAAAAATGGCCGCCGTTAGCTCGAGGTTCACTAAACTCAAGCCTCCCTCTGGACTTCCTATTACCTGCTTCACCTACACTGAGATCTGAAGACAGAGGTTTTCTGCTGGCCTTCCTCCCATGACCGCTACGCCAAACCCCCAGTGGACCCTGAGGAGACAAGAGGAAACCAGCGAGGTTATCTGTGGAGGGAATGACTCGTATGACTGATCGAAGGCTATTAGAACATTTTATACTTTATATTTTTTCATGCGCCTGACCTGGTGTTTGGCCACTATGTGTGCGGTGTGGATCAGCGGAGGTCTGATGGAGGGTTTGTACTGCAGAGGTTGGCCCAGTAGAGAGTAGTGTGCTTCACCTAGACGTCACAAAAAGAAAAGTTATCACAAGCTGTGGAGTTTCAGCTCAGTCAAAACAAGAAGCTGAACGTCTACTGTGAGTTTATACGGAGTAATTTTTGGGCAATTACATTTTACAAAGGAAATGCAATTAAATAAAAAAAAAAAAATTTGAGCGAACAAAAATATACTAAATTATACTAAATAAATTATTTGTACGTTAGTCTGTAGTTCATGAGCTTGACTCCTTGCCCTCTTTTTAGGTAGCTAGCGTTAGCTAACTTCTGCCACTCAAGCATTAGCTCACTAAGCTAGTTGGCTAATTGGATAATTCCAGCGACACAGCCAAGGCATTAATGTAGTTCCTTTTAAAAAACAGAAACTACAACTGTGTCTCTAAATTTAAACAATTCAAATCTAAGATATGACATTCATTGGACAGAGTGAGCAAAAATCTGTTTAACAGCACGCTATAAGGTGGTTAATAATATTTAGCAAGTCAGCTAACATTACGTTAGCTAAGCTTAGTTAGCCACTGCTTACATGGCTAGCTAGCTAGCAACTAAGACGCCTCGGATGCAAGCTAATAAAAGTACAAACTAACTTAAAAATATGACTTATATTAAGATTCATGACTAAATATGTAACACAAAACTGTATAAACTCCGTAAGTGTGGCTGCCTAGCACTCTACCAGTGCTTCCGTAGCTCCCTAGTAGCAGATAATAGCCAACCAGAAACTACCTCCTCCTATAATGTGATTGGCTAAACAGAGCGTACAGACCAGGGATGGTGAGTGAGGAGGTCATTATGTGTTCTCACGTAGATAATTTACTAAGCACAAAATAATTGTTTGCTCAAATGAAATAATTTTTGCATGAAAACGTCTCTCTAAAATATAATTAACATGCTTGCAAAAATTATTTTTGCACACAGAGGATTGAGGCAGAAATACAAATCCAGAAGTTTTGATTATCGTGATGATGTTATTGGTCTGCGAGGCGGCCCCTTGTGTGTCTGACCTTGTCCACTGTGGTAGAAGGCTGTAGGGAGCGGCGGGTGGTGGTGGTGCGGGTGGCGCGCCATGACAGGGATGGACGAGATGCCTGATGGGAGGCCCTTGAAGCTGGGTGGCTGGCCTGGCGAGGGAGCGAGTGCCGGGGACAAGGGCAGGCTGCTCTACACGCAACACACCGGCGGTGAGGAGACGGGGGGTGGGGGTGGGGGGGGGGAGGGGAAGAACACAGAGACACTTTCATTCAAAAAAAATAAAAAAAGCAAACATCGCTGTTTCTCTCCTTTGCAAAGTCGTCGCTTTAATGTGCCGTTCTATCCACATTAGTCCCCCCCTAATGTACCGTTAAACCCTAATGCTCGGGACTATTTCCCCCTCAATTTCAAGCTACGCCCGCGCCGGCGACTTCATTTGCGGAGCCTGTTTACTGCGACATTTAACCTGCCCGCAGGAGGAATTTGGCAATTCCCGCGTCACTGTCAGACTCAGACAACCAAAATAAATTGCCTCTCAAATTGCTTTCTTGTGACCGTCTCAACTTCCCGACACATACCGTGTTGTCCTGTGTGGCAAACACTACCTGAGCAATTTCATAATTTAATCTAACACTGTTTGGAAATTGTCGTTGTCAAGTCAAAACCTCTAGGCTACTGAGCAAGATAACCCTCATAAAGGTTATTAAAAGGTTATAAATACAATCTTATGAGTGCTGTTTTATTGAACATTTGGACGCTGTCTGATGCACATGGGCTGCGTTTGTACCTGGGTGCTGTCTGGAGGCGCGGGGAGCTCAGCGGGCCTGCGGCTGCGCTGGTGCTCGTTGCCCGGGTGTTTGTGGCCAGGCTGTTTCCGCTGGCAGGGGGAGGGGGCTCGGGGCTGCTGGCAGGAGGGCGCCGTCATTTGCAGCATCACCATGCCGCCGCCGGGGGCCGGGGGTAACAACCCTGCACAAACGCACATGGAAAAAAACAACAAACAAAACATAGTTGAAACATAGTGTTGAAAAGAGGCAAATGAGGTCAGGCAGACAAGGTAAAACACTTCATACTGCTTGCTTTTTTAAATTTAATTCATCATTTATTCATCATAATTATGCTGACAGACTAAATGCGTTTTTTTTCCTCCCCAAAAAGCTCTTTTTCAGCATTTTGGTTCAGCTGCTGAGCATTTAAGTTGTAAGAGCCTCGATTACGAGGCCACATGAAGCAATAACAGTCCATTCCCCTTTTGCTGCTAAAATCCTCTACGATAATGCTGGAGATCCACCTTATCCAGATTATCTTATTAGTTTTTGACGCATAAATGTGAATAAAAAAAACCTAAAACAATCAAAGAACCTTGTGCTCCATGCACTCAAAAAAAGAGAAGAAAATCCATCTAATTAATTTCTGTTTACAAAAAAATCGTGTTGTAAAATTTGCACAGCCGATGCCGCTGTTGATTTATTAATCATCACCCGACAACAGTTGCAAGGACAATAGATGTTTGGACTGAAAATCGGGCAGATTACTTCTGGCCCCGGCCAATTAAAAGTGTTTGCCTGTGACGCAGTGAGTGAGGCGGACCGCCGAGACCTTCATCCAACCTCATTACTGACAGGGGCTGGAAATGACGGCTCTCTCCACCCCCCATAATAATCAGGCATGAATAATAAAGGTCATTAGTAAGGAGACTGCCCCACCTGGGCCTCTGGACAGCCAGTCTCTGAGCCCTCGGAAAGGCCAGCACATGAAAACGCGGCTCATTACGGCAACTTCTATTCCGATAAACTACGCTTTTAATTCTATTTTTAATTTTTATTTCTAGCCCCTGATTAACCTATATATCTATTACAACTTTACCAATATGTGGCCTTGGTCCATTTATCCGCTGTTGTCGACGCAACGGTCGACCTACTGGCTGTTTAATCCCAGCGCAGCTCCAGGTTGGGGGGGACGTACCTGCATACTGCTGGCCTGGGTGCTGCTGGGAGACGCAGGGGGACGAGGTCTGAGAAAACTGGAGCTGCTCCATCATCTGGGCGGGCAGGAAACTCACCGTGGAGCTGCGAGAGAGAATACACAGAAGGAAGTGTTTTACAACGGGGCTTTCTGCAGCGTTCAAGGTAAATAGGACTGAATTGAAAGGGTGGATTAACCAATTAATGGCCTGGATCAGAAAACATGTGATTCAACAAGCCAATCAGATTCCCCTTCCTATACCACATGTAGGCTCATTAGAATGTACCGCCCTCATCTGTAACTACCTTCGGAATGGTGACCTGTATATTTCTCGCGAGCCAATCAGAGCAGACTGGGCTAATTACGGGATGGGGTCTAAAAGAGACAGGCGCTAAAATAGAGCGTTTCAGAAAGAGGGTGAATACAGGTTTATTCAGACAGACATTATGAGAAAAATATTTAGTTTTTTTACATTAAAGCATGTAGACATATTCTAGTATAAACCCCAAATATAAACCTAAAAGTAAATATATGTCCCCTTTAAATGTTGCCAAAACTGTCAGCAGCAGCAGTGCATCATGTACTCCAGAGCCTCAGCACCTGAAGAAGAAGTAGTCCGACACGATGCTCACGCCTCTGTGATTAAAAGAGGACTTCTAAAAACCTGCACAGACGTATACATCTCCCTGCAGCTGGGGTATTACATTTGAAATTTAACTTTCAACTCCATCTGCAAAAGCAGGTGCTCGGCTCCGTGAACAAACCCGCCTGCAGGGACTCGTGTCCAGCTGGTGAGAAAGCGGGCTGCAGGTGGACAGCCGGGCCTCGAGGGAGAACGCTGAGCTGTTCGAAAACTTGCTGCCGCATAAATCATGTTTTTTCCATGCCGACTGTCCTACTAAGGCAGCCTCGTTTTACAGCTGTGACAATGAGAGAGGGTGACCTCTCTCTCTCTCTCTCTCTCCCATGTGTGCACACATTGTTCTTTCTGCAGGTGACGACTAACGTACATGGCTGTTTCTCTGGCGTTTGTCATGTGTACGAGCGCGTCCCAGCGGGGCTTCCAGATTGATTGGGTCCGCGGAGGTAGGAGCTAATTACATGTTTTTGCTTTTCGGTGAACCAGTTCTATCAATCAGCCCGTAATGAGAGCGGGCGGCAGAGTACCGGAGGAAGACGGGGGAAGGCTCTTTGAGAGGACGTTCATCAGCTACAAGCACCACCCACCCACCCACCCACCCACACACACACACACACACACACACACACACACACACACACACACACACACAC